AATTACATTTCAAAATTAATATCACAAAATTTGAATAATTTAAAACAATGAAATTTATTTTCTGGAAAACTTGGTTTCTCAAATTGTGTCGTTATTTTAGCAAATGAGCAACATGTGAGATAGTTTCTGTTGGACACATAACAGGAAGTTCTAAGAAAGTTTCATCTATCTAAAAAAAACTTTCATTTTTAAAGAATATTAAAGAATGGAAAAATGTGTGTAAAAAATCTTTCACAATTAAATCCCTTGGGTTTTCAACACTCTTATATGTCTACTGATAGATTTGTCTGGAAATATAAAGAAAGAAAAGAGCTGTAATTAGACATGGAATAATCTCAAAACTTGAGTATTCTATTGAAAATATTCTATTGTTCATTTGAATCATTAGTTTAATCATTTACATAGATATTATGTACATTTTTCAAAAATTTTATAAATAAATTAAATAATTTGCGTCTCCATTAGAATATCAAGTTGATATAAGTCTACATTGATTTGCCCGCATTTTGTGTTTATCTTTCATCAAACTTTACATTACTCTGCATATTTACTTATATTCCTTTTTGTACAAAAACTTATGATTCTTTATATAAATATAGAGAGATAAATTATTATTTATCTCTTGTTATTTTTTTATATGTCTTATGTTCTAATTTTTATTTTGTAATAAAGCATTTATCTTTTCTTTCTTTTTTCTTTTAAGCAAAATTGTAGCGTTCACAGGAAAATAGCGATCAATTTAAAATGCGTAAAGAGATCGAAAATGAAAAAGCAAAGATACATAATAATATTCTATAATATTTTATTAATAACGATATAGCCGTAACTCGATATAATCAAATTCATTGAAATTCATTGTGGCGAAAGTCAAAGCTGATTAATGGCGATTTCGGGAGAAATGCAGGCCAAAAAAACTTCTTTTTCTCTAGTCGTATTAAATTTAGTAATTAAACCAACGATTTCATTAATAATTTTCCTTTATTTCAGCCTTAACGATCGATCCGGTCGACGAATCACGATCGACAATAGCAAGTCCATCAGACCAAATGGCACAATCGGAAATTTTGATAAGAGATTCGCTTGAAAATAATGATGTATTGAAATAAATTCTTCGAATAATTATATAATATTGACAGAAACGCGTTTAAAACTTAAGGTATCAAATAAATTTCAAAAAGATAACTATATAAATTAAGATTTAATATAATTATCGTGAATGATTTTTCTCACTTATTGCCATGAACGAGAAGAGTTTTAATCTTAGTCAGTTTTCATCAGCATCTCATGCATTTCATGTTATTTGTCTCAATGTTGAACCGTCTCTCACTGATACAATCCACGAAATTATGACAGAGCTCGTAAAATCTCAATGGCTTTTCTATGTCCCCAGCAATAATTCTCAATCGTCGAGAACTTGAGGACACTTCGAGTGGTTAGAATACTCGCGGATAAGGTGAATGAAAATTATTCTAAGATGACGCCAGAGGACATAAAACCGGATGATAAAGTTGATTTTATATATATACATACATATATATACACACACACACATATATATATATATATATATATATATATAAATGCAGTTATAGTTTAAATTTTCGACATTGACATGACAAACATTTCCGAAACGATGGCATTACAATTCTAATAAAAAAAAAATGTTTATAATCAAAATATATGTACTTTCACAAGTAATCATAAATTTTATATTTGTAAACTTACCATTCAGACTACTCGATTTTTTTTCATAATTACACATACGATAGTCACGAAATTTCAAAAGAAATTTCAATTTTTGTCTTATTTCACGAATTTTTTAATTCTTTGATCTTTGAATTCTTGAGCCTTCAGATCTTTAATTTGTGAACCTAAAGGAAAGAACTAAACAATTTAATACACTTATGCCTAATGAGTGAATATAGCATTCGAAAAATTGCAAAAGAATATATACATACAGCTCGCGGTAAAAATACAGCTTTTCAAACCGTTTTAATTTCTTTAAATAAATTCCTTTAATCTAACGCGGTATAGGTTTTAAGAAAAGCATCAAAATCGATCATTGAAATAAGATCGAGCTGTGCGAAACCAAAGGGTTCGAAAGCCAAAGAGTTCGGCATCGTGTCGCTTCCCCACGTGGTGCTCGAGGATGAGGAAGCTCCGGCCGTCGGGGGATCACCGAGAAAAAGCGGCGGAAGGCCGAGGTAACATCAAAGGGAAGCGACAACGGATATGCGTAAACCGTGGCCGCGCGAATGCCGAAAAACCGACAGAACGGCTGCGGTTAGGAGTAGCCGAGTAGCTAACCGTGGCGTGCGTTCTCGGGAAAAGCTCATCAAAGAACCGCGGACGGATAAATGTAACCGGGCCGTTTAACGCGAATCCCTCGCTAATTTTAATTACCGGCTGATTTACGTCTCGATATGTTCTCTCTCGCGTGCGCGGGTCGATGAGCTTCTTTTTTTCTCTTCTTCTCCACCCCGCAACACGTTCCGGTTTAACACTTCTTCTTCTTCTTCTTCTTCTTCTTCTTCTTCTTCTTCATCTTCGGTGTGGTCGTCTTCTTCTCGTTCTCTTCGCAACACGTGGGCGGAAGATGCCTCAGGAATTCGTCCCTTCTTTCTCTCTTTCTCTCCTCTTCTTCTCTTTCTTTCTCTTTTCGTTAACGCGTCTGCGATTGCCTGCGTTGAGAATGATAAATTCATCGAAGACGAGCGGATATGGATTAGTGTGATTTGTCGTTGCCGAATAGCGAGGGTTTGTCGTCTGTGACATCTTGTTACTACTTCCTGAAACTTTTTTATTCAACACAAATTAGTGAAGAAATGATATTCGGAGGTCAAAACGGATTTTTCGCCTAATAATATTTTTCTATGAAAATTTTATCATTTTCAGTTCAAGCAAACTGCACGCTAATTTTTATTAATCTTGAAACACAGTCCTAAACTGAAATTGGAGCACGTAACTGACAAACGATTATTATTATTGTAAGACCCATATATTGACCGAATATAACCTTCGCTTATTTGAACATTTCTCGGTCAATTTTCACTTAATACTGTTTACTTTTTCTTTGACCGAGAAAAAGTGTGTCAAGGAAAGGATTTTAAAATTTAAAAAAATATTTGAAAGAAATATTTTTCGAGATTTATTATGCCTCATCATTTTTGTCATACGTCATATAAGACACGAAAATTCATTCGCTCGTGATCGATCGGCGTTTCTTCCGCCCACTCATAAGGATATTCCTACACCTATCTACCTATCTACCTAGCAACCTACCTAACGCGGGCACGAGGACATAACTGCCTACGCAAGTGTCAGGACGTAATATTCAGTTTGGTTTAATGCCACAGTCCGTCACCCCGCGAAGGTGTTTTTACACAAAACAGAGAAACCCATCTCCCTCGTCATCGTCGCCGTCGATATTTCCTCTTTTCTGCTTTTCCGCCCGCTCGCGCGCAGGAGATCCTACCCTTCCTTTTCCTTTCCACCTTCCTTCGATCGTACAGCTTCGGCTAAGCCCCACGAGGAAGTACTGGGGCGTATCAGAGGGTTGCGGACCGGGGTGGTTGCGAAGAGGTCGCTTTCAAGATGGCCACCGCCTCTGTAATCGGCACTTCTGCAAGTGCATTAATCTAATAGGTTTAAACTCTATCAGAGTCCAACTTTACTTTTTAATCCTACTCGCTGCATTTCTGCGATAACCACTCGCTGTATTTCTGCGACAACGTGACATCATATGACATATATATGTTGCCAATTTATGTTAGATAATTATTTCAGGAGCACTAAATTGTGAATTTTGAAAATTTTTTTCACTTCCTTTTCTTATTGGACTTGATCGAAAAGTAACGTTAACGTTTAATTCGGAGCATATCGTTTGAGGCGTGATTGATCGACACAAAAGAGGAATTCTATTCTTGCCGGCGAGATTTGACTGGTGCTGACTGGCTCGATTGTTATAGATTACATGATGTTATATCCATTAGCTACTGGAAGAAGAATTTATAATGGAAACCCATAAGTGGTAGACAGCGTGGCACCGAAAGTCTCTATCTCTCCTTGTTTCTCTTCTCTCGGGCGTGGCAATAAGGAAGTGGAATCGTGCTTAAGAAAACACAAAGCCGCCAATACCGGATAGGCCCGACCGAGTGCCTGAGAAAACATCAAAATGTTCTTGGAATCCTGTGGAGGAGTCATGACGTTAGCCGCTGCCTTCTTATCAATCGCAAAGGATCGAAAAAAACTGATGAAAAGTGAATTATTCTCTCAATATTGAAATATTTAGTAAAATCTATTGCTACAATTTATATTTCAACGTATGGTCTTTTATTATTATACAATAAAGAATTATTTTATTTCATTTTATTTTGGAAATATTTTCTAAAGTATCTACTTTAGACTTTCTAATATATTATATTAACAATTAATCGTTATCGCTACAATAATGGATAATTATAGGATATGAATTATGAAGAATTATTCACAATATAATAATATCATGATAAATATATGTTATTAATTCCATATGCATGTAATGCAATTTTTAAATCATTATATTAATAATTTACATAAACATTTATTGATTTTGTAATTTGATTATTCATCATCATCTGTCTCCACGATTATAAGAGATTAGAACATGAGAATGATCTCGTATGAATAGCATTTCGGCTTCCGCACCGAAAATGGAAAGAGCATGCCTTTCCGTGCCAGACAGCGTGGCACCGATGGTCAAAAAAAATTGGACCGACACGTCAGCGATGGGCGGCCACCGGCTAATTAACGATCTGACGAAAGCCGGCAGCGATTAACATGAAACTCGCTTCCTCTTCGGAAACTTCCAAAACAGGGAAACAACTTGGAGTGCTTTCTGAGAGGGTATCAAGCGTTCGCGAGCGAAATATATATATATTTCTAGCATGCTTATGGTATTGGAAAGTTAAAAAAATAAACATAATGTCTTCAGTTTTCAAAAAACAGTTTATTATTTTCACCTAATTTTGCTCTTGTCGCTCTTTCGTTGCTCTTTCCAGGTAGAACACAGAGTTACAATAAAGGCATGACGATGTCGTAGGACGTCACCACGACATCATTTAATACTTAAAAATAGACTTTTAAATGACAAATAAAATCATGATATCTTTATAATATTATTACGATGTATTCTGTGTTCTACTTGAATTATTGCGTAATCCCGTTAGGCATTTCGGAGTTTCGTCAGAATCCATCGTCGCATTAAAACGAGCCGAAGTTTTTCAAGTTTTACGGCCGAAGGTCGCCCACATATCAAATAATTCATCGCGCACTATCGATCCCACGCGATTCATAATAACGCCGGTCCGTTATTCCCTCGCACTCGTTAATCAGCGGCGACCTGTCTCGGATTAACGACTCGTCGTCGCGCGAATGACGCGCGACGGAAGAGTTTCGTTCGCCGAGTCGAATATTGTGTATCTTATGAAGAAAGGCCATAATGGGCCTTAATGGAGTTGACTGTCAGCGGGGTTCCTTCTCGCGGAGCGGTGGCGCACACCGGTGGACTGGACAATGGCCGCTTCGGTAGCCATGCCACGTACGTCTGTGTGCGCGTTTGCGTGTGCGTGGACGTTACTCGACAGAATTCCATATATTTTTCCACACACGGCAGTTCCTGGAAGGTGAATTAAGAATATTAATCCCCGCGTAATATATTAATACGCGGAATTAATAATAATTGCCGGCGTGTTATTTAACATAACGTCGAAATTGTTGTCGACGGTACGACGTGTCGTCGCGGGAGATTACTCTTGTCACAATATTATATTCTTTTTTATCAAGTCGTTATAGATTATGCCGCGTTCGGCAGAAATGCAGTTTTGTGCATCGATTTCGCTTGACGGCTACGTGATGGCCTCGTTAACAGGAAGCTTCGAGTGCACGCGCCTTTCACGTAACGCCTACGCGATTATTATGCTCGAACCGAGAGACAGCTCGAAGAGCCATGATCGCGAGCGTTATGGCCGCTAGTTTCTATTTTATGAAACTTTTATACGGGGTATTACTAGTGAAAAATATCTCGTTACTTAGCGCGTCGAAGCGAGTTTGAAGAAGCCTCAATTAATATCGCATTAAAATGTGAATCCGAAATTCAATCTTTCTATGATGATTTTTGTAGGAATATCATTTTCATCTTGATTGAAACCAACAATTAGCAACCATTTTTTATAAATAAAAATAATACTTTATACGCGCGTGGCCAAATACCTAAATAAATTTAACATTCATAGTACGATAATAATTAAGAAATGTATATTCTTAAATATAGTTTCTCGCAATTATATTGATTACTTTAATTTAATGATAAGATCTATTTTAATTATTAGAAAACTGTTTGTGTATTATTATTAAATTAATATGATTATTGGCAATACAAAACCGTAACTTTGTTTAAAAATTGTCGAGATTTACAGAGAATAGGAAACAAAATTACAAATAAACAAGCTCGACTTTTATTTCTCGAAAAAAATGCTTATTTGTCGAAAAAATTTCACTATGTAGTTCTATTAAATTAAGATTTTCAATAAAGAGTACATCCGTTGTCAATCAATATTATAATTTTTCGAATATTTGATGAAAACCTTCCCTTTGTCCTTTTACCTTCTCTTTGTCTCTCATAAATACACATACACTCATTCACACGTATAGAGTTTGAAAATGACAGGGTTTTTTTGGTGGTCGTTACGTTTACTGTTTGAATTTTGCGGTTTAGATTTTTTCCTGTCAACCAACAATAGGTTTCATCATTCTTTCTTAGACCTTTAAACCTTTCACTACCCCATTTTACTGAGTCACCTTGGTCTAAGTCAAGCTATTCTTTTTCGTGTTTTGGCACTTCCGACAAGCCTTTGCCCCTAATCCCCATGGGTGGTCGTCTGTACCTCATCCTGTAATCTTTCCTTTACAGCTTTCTCATCTGGACATGGTTGAATTTTAGCACAGCGGACACTGAATGTGACGCGAAAACTGTCAGATTTGTAACCTGAAAAAGATTCCAATTGCGATTAGGTTGACCTCAATTAGCATCAACATAAATTTGACATTTTTGTTCATGGAATTTTAACGGATTAGTTAGATATATAATGACCGGAAATTGTCGGATTAATATGCTCGAGCAAAATTCCCTTATAATTAGGTCGATTTCAAGTAACATTGTGTTAACATAAATGTCAACGCAATTTCGATCGCATTTTTGTTCAATAATGTTGTAATAACTGAAAAAGAAGAAAGTGATCTTAATATGAAATTAATTGTCAATAGATATTTTACAAAGATCTATAACGTAAAGTAAAAATCACACAAAAATGAGGTTTACAGTAATCGAAAGAATTTTTTTTTGTTGAGTGGTGTGTGTGTGTGTGTGTATATATATATATATATATATATACACACATACATAATAGCTGTTTTATGATAAAAACATACCTTCTTTCGTTTTCTCTCTCCATCTTTTCTTCCATCATTCTTTAGAAAATTTTCTTTCTGAACTAGGAATGTTATAAAAAATAATTTTTTATGTAACTTTATTATACATTTATTGCGAAAATATAAAATATAAAAAAATATTTATGCTGGAATTATGATTTATAAAGGTAAAGTCAAATAATATAAATAATATAAATTCTGTGCCCTGTGTTTAAAATGATAGTTTAAATCTATCCCTTTTGGATAATTTACTCTCAAAGTTTCTATTTTTTTGTTTAGAATTCAAAGCATAATGCTACCTTTATATGACAAAACACACGCGAGCACATTCACACAGAAATAAACGAGTGTTAGAAAACGAGGCATGGTGCGAGCCCATAACCCGATATTCGAATACAGAACCGTCTGTCAGAATCGAGAATCATGAAAAGTATCGGATTAGAAGGAGTGGAGGGGGTATCGTTAAAGATGTTTTCTAATCTCAAGATCTTCCGAGGCGCGTTAGCGATCTTCTATGCCAGCCTGTGTATTCATATCATCTCCAATAAAATTCTCAATAATAGAAAATTAAACAATTTTTCATTAAATTTTAAATTTTAAATTTTATTAATTAGACTAAATTAAGTTATCATAAAAATAGTTCATTATAAAAATTATAAAAAATAAAATTGTTCAAAATATAATATTTATAACCTTTTTTTAAAGACGTCATTTCAAGAACGTTTTGATCATTACGCGGAAAACATAAATTTTCAATTCGTTACTTGTTGTATTACTAACATATATACGTATAGCTGATACATCCTTAAAACATGTTAAGAATGTTGAAAAGTAGCAATGTGTAAAATGATTATTTATCTTTCTCCAAGATGATGAAAGATGATCGCACTTTCACAATAAAAATTTCACAATATTGTTTTTATTTACTTATTGTGACACTTGTCGAAGCTACAAATTTATTACAAGGTCATTCGGCACCATCAGCGTAACAAAAGAGTTGTAGTCTGCGGGCAAAAGAAAGTTCATTATCGGTACCCTTAAAGTGGAAAATCTCCTCAGGCTTTGAGGATCTATCAAGTCATGCTGTGATGTGGCCACGACCTTCGTCTCTTTACTTCTATGCGGCATCCGTTTCCGGTCCTTATCTTACGTTACACATGTAACCACCAGAGTTCTACTCGACCCATTGTTGGCCACATGTGCCTGGTCTCGAGAAGTTTGCTTATGTTGGCCCATTTAACACAATGAAGCTATACGCCTAGACCTGAGTGTAAACCCAAGCATCGAATCTGCGAAATCACTACAAATAATTCTATCTAATTGTCATGATTCGACGAACAATTCGAGTGATCTTTGATAGTGCAGCCGGCAAAGAGGATGATCTCTCCGACAATATAACATAAAGAATCTCCTTCTCACATAAATATTACGAGATTGTAAAACTTGCCAGAATTCTAAGCTGATAATTTTAAATTCGTCGCACAATTTTGCTAGTTTACGTACGAAGATACATGATGTCTGATTCGGGAGTCTATGAAAAGTTTCATGGGTTAACTTGCTACATTTATCCAGGATTATTCCTCGATACTTCGTTCTACGCGAGGGAATTTATACGAGTTTCCGCCTGTGTTACGAACGTAAGCAAGGACGAGTGTCGTCCGCTCCGTTGGCTTGGAATCGACGGGATCACGTCGAATCTCGTAGAAATCTCGTTTCCGACGGCAGCGACAAAACGGTCGTGACACGTTTCAAGCGTTGCCAATTTTTTCTTTCTTCTGACTGCAACCGAGAAAAAAATTGTATTATCAAGAATAAATATTTTTGTTTATAAAATTTTTTTATATTGTATCAAAAGTATTTTTATTATTTCAGTACTAAGAAAAACTATGTAGCAAATCTGCATAAACAAATCTATATTAAACTGGCATATCAGATCAACATATAGGTATATCTAAACCAAAGAAAGTTGAGTTAAGCCTATAGAATAAATGAGAAATAATATTAAGAATTAACATTAAGAATTCATATCCGGTCTACTACAAAAATTATAGCGTCCATTATGTATTTGAATTAAATAATAAATGTTAATATGGTAGGCCGAATAATAAATAAATAATAAATTAATAATACAGATAGATGTATGTACTTCAATTATTTCCAAATATAATATACATATTAATTCTACGTTTTATTTCCTTTTTCCTGCAAATTTTTACAGTTCTATCTTTAATTTTTTGTGTTGTATGATTTCGTTAATTTCCGATAAGTGTGCGAAATACTCGGATTCCTCATTTCGAGATTGTAGGATTGCGTCTAGTTTTACTGAGGGTGAAAAGATGATGAAAAGTTGACGGAGAACAGAGGGAGAGAAAAGAGGGCGAAGAGTAAAAGAAAGAAAGAGAGAGAGAGAGAGAGAGAGAGAGAGAGAGAGAGGGAGGGAGAGAGAGAGAGCGCAAGCTCTCTGTGTTGACTTTGGCTTGCAGCCTCCAATTTCGGCGACGGCGGCGGCGGCATGGATGGAAATATCGGCCGCTAAAATAAATCGACGACAAAGACCGGCGATCCAACGACACGCTCACTCGCTGGAATGCTCGATCAACGAGCCCTAACAATCCCGCACGGCAGATTGCAATCGGAGTTGCATTAAAAGCAGCCCGATTGAAACTCAAATTTCCGCGTCAGTCTCATACATTTTCCATATGTGGCAAAATTTTAGATTGTTTTCTCATTAGTTAGAATCAAAGAAGATATTCAACTAGAAGACATGACTAATTGTGAAATAATTAATTTCTCATGTTTTCTCGCTGGTAAGTTAAAAAGATGATTTGCTGCTCCAATAGAGAGAACTGGAACAAATAAATGTGAATTGAAATATAAGAAATAAAAAAACAGAATGTACAGAAAAACAGATTCCGGAAAAATATATTCTTCAATAAATTCCTTACAACATTTTAAAATAATTATTAAATTAATGATCAATATAAACTTTGATTATGTTACTTTCAGCTTTAGTTTGTGATTATATTTCAAGTATAATAAGCCGAATCGATGTGCATTTTATAGAACTGAAAAATATATTTATAAATCTACATATAAATATTATTTAACATCAAGATTTGCTTGGATGGAAAATAGAATTCTATCTCTTATTTGAGATTTATTTTTACTGATCTAATTCACACACTTCTAGTTGAGAAATATATTGTTTCAAATATACGCAGAAAGCAAGTATAGATAAGACTTGTGTTTCAAAAAATAAAACAAAAGTATTAATAGAAAAAAAGAATGAAAAATTTTCTCTATCATTAATCCTATAATTAATCAGGACTAAATGTACATTTAAATAATGAGAATCTTAACCCGATGTAATTCGAACTAGAAAATTAGTTTTCTTGTTTGCACATAGTGTGCTTACAGAATTGGAACTTATTGTCAATCTAATCTTGATTAAAATTAAAAATATGCTACATTTTAAGCCTAATAACGTCAAACGTTGTGACATTCGTGACCGCCTCCTGAACACGAAAGGATCGGTACATTTAAATCAAAAAATCGCAAGCGATTTGTCGCCTAAAAGTGGCGAATTCATCGCGCGGTTGTTTTTCTTTTTTTTTCCCCCGAATCAAAAACATTTCCCATATCTATAAATCCGCGTGCGGATGCACGCAATGACTACCGTCGGCGACATAAGCCGACGCATTGAATTGCGACGTAAACGTCACGTGTGTATCCGGGAAGCTGTGATAGTGCGACGGCGAGGAGAGGAGGGACGCACGGCGTCGTTCAGCGTCTCTCTCTGTTTAGCGTTCGCGGAAAAAAGGGACGTTGGAGGAGAGAACTCGCGAGACGTGGGAAAGCTGGCCGGATGAGGGACGAGCGAGATGCTCGTGACCATTCACCTGTCAACTGTCTTCCTCCGCGCCGTGTCCCGTCATCGGTGATGCTGCTGTTGCTCTGCTCTGTGCTGCTGCTGCTGCTGCTGTTGCTGTTGCTGGCTCTTCTTCTTTTTCCACCTTCTTCTCTGTTCTTCTTCACGGTGGCACATCGGCAATGCCATCGGCTGGCTCACGTAGTCGTGCCTACCAAAACATCTTCGACGATCCTCCATTTGACTCGCCATTCAGCGCCGGTGAAACAGCTTAATATAATCCTATTTAAGAAGACGACCATTGTGGCGGGACTCGGGGAAATCGATGGAACGTGACCGAAATTATTTACTCGTTTATTAGGATCCACATAGATTTGAGATTAGAATTCACATTTGACGCACGCGACAACGTGAGCTCAATGACAACTTGACGAGAAGATAATCCGGTTACTTAAAAAAGTTACTTAATTCGGTTACTTTCTTCCCCGCATGCTGCGATTAACTAGCAAAACATTATTTATTGTCAATAAATTTATAATTATATTATTATTTATTTTTTTTTTTTTAATAAATAAGTATGTAGTTAGAAATATAAACATTTATATCCCGCGTGTTTGTTATTTTGACCTAAAACAATGCGTAAAACAACAGATTGCTTCGCAATGCGACGACGAGTTAAGACGTCGAAAGAATTTGTCGTTTTATTACAAGGCTTGCTGAGGAAATCGCGATTTCTAGGTGTAGATTTCTAGGTGTCGATTTCGAAAACGCGATAGTTGGCGGCAAGGACACAAAACGACGACTACATATAGGTAGACAAATTCTCAGCCATGTGTTCGTAAAGTGTCCCAGTGGAATGCCACGTACGTGTCTTTGAGAACTCGCCGCGTGAGTGCCAGGGCGGGGGAGTGCTGTCAACGACAGGGTAAAGTTCCTGTATTACGGAAGAAGAACGGGATTTTTACGTGACACACCAGACACTCTACTCGCGCCCGATCGAGGTGTCAACGACTTGACCGATGGATCGACGTCAAATTCTTTCGGATTCGTGCCTGGATCCTGGATCACGCACTCGCGACGCACCCAGATCGCGTGATCG